CACACACACACACACACACACACACACACACACATTCGTGCGTTTATAAAACATTTTAACATCTCAGAGCGGAGGTCTACACTTCACGGGTAGTAACTTGTGGAGGTGAAGTTTTCGACAAGTCAATATGTTAATGGACAAATTTTGAAAAGAAATAATTCGGCCTTTACAGTAATTGCAACGCTGAATATAAGTAGAAAAAATTCAACACGCCCTCGCTATCGTAAAAAAAGAGAGAAAAGAAAAACCAAGCTGGCAATAGTAAAACGTTCAAATTTAATCGAATATAGCAGTTGGTGTGCAGGGAAGGCTGAAAGAATTAAAATCTACTAGTCTAGCAAGAATGGCAAGTGGCCAGCGTAGTATGTTCCAGAACATCCTCCCCCTCCACCCCTCCACACCCTCCCAATCTTACCCCACCGTCCCAGCTTTTCGCAGGGTTTTTTTTCACCAAACGTATTGGAAAATGCAAACGAAGATAAAAACCCAGAGGGAAGGCAAAGACACGCACACACAAATATACACACACAAACAAACAAGGGCACACAAGTATATATGGATAAAAAAAGCACACACATAATACACAAATGAACAAACACAAGCGTATGATACACCTTGTAGATGTAATAATTATAAGAAGGTTGTTGTAAGTACGAAAAGAAATATTTAAAAAAAAGAAATACAAAAAATATATGAAAATTTGAGTATTTTTTCAAATTTAGGACATTAAAAAAATTGTTTGCCATTTTTTTCTCTTGTTCGGTTCATAGTCATCATCATCATCATCATCATCATCATCATCATCATCATCATCATCATCATCATCATCATCTCAGAACCCATCCATTTAGTGACTTTGAAATTTACCAGGTCTCCCAGGTCTCTAGACAAAAAAGACGACACTCTTTAAAAGGAGACTGCCCTACTGGGCACCCAAGACTGCATCGCAATCTTCTAATACTAATAACCCTTTCACATAGGGGATCGTGTTTCTTGGCCAAGGTCCCATCCCGATCAAATAGTCATCTCAAATTTCTCGTGGAGTCGTGAGCATGGTGGGAAGAGATAGCCAGAGAAAATATTTAGCAAAAACACAAAGCCAACACCCTGGCCAGAATATTATTATTTCAGAAAATGTTTGACTCATGAGCCTTTTCCTTTCTATTGGGCGTTCGTTTTCTTCTTCTTTTTGTGAGGGACTTTCTCAAAAGAATTTTTCCAAAATAAAAAATAAAAATTCTGTCCGTAGTGTATTGGTATGACCACGAAAAAACTCATAACTCACGCGCGCGCGCGCCTGCGCTGCGCGTACGTACGCAGTGAGACTCCCTGTACGATTGAACGCGGCACGAAGCAGCAGTAGCAGCACTTGTCTACTGGTGAGTTTAGTGTTCTGTTCTGAATGTTGTACTCGATTGAGTTCTTCAGTGCCCGAGACATAGAAGGGAGCCAGCAGGGCGCGTCATTTCCCTCGTGTATTTTTGAGAATTAGTATGACCACAGACGGTCTCGCCCGTGCGGAAAATAAAGATCGCTCGATACAAAAAACAAGTCTCGTTCCCAAGCTCTTTAGCAGTGTGGGCCTTTAGTCTCGGGGGAGGAGAGGTCGAAATCAGAATTAAAATAAAACAGAATCGATCATTAATGTTCTAAAGCGTCTTAGAACTTTGGTTTTTGTTGATGTCTTTACTTTTTATGTAACATTATTTTATCTCATACTTTAAAAGAAATGATTTACGCTTTTAATTCATATTTTTCTGGTTGCTTTTTCGTTTCTTCGTTTTTTAAAGCTTTTATTCATGAAAAAAAACAACATATTTTTTTCTTTTTCAAGAAGTCGGAGTGGAATGGGTGAGGGTGGGGTGGGGTGGTGGTCCTTGGTGGTAGTCCTTGGTGGTAGTCAAAAATCGATAACTACGGAAATCGTTTAATTTTCCCTCATGACTAAGAGTTGAGGAAAGGAGTCACACTGAGAGACTGCGCTCGACTGGCCCAGACAGTTAGTCTTGGGCTGAAAGAGCGGGGCCTCTAAGACGTCTTCACGCCGTCTACATCAACAGTAGCTTGAGGAGTCCGCACTATACATGCTAATTTGTTGATCTAGTGGAGATGTCTGCCTGAGAATGGTTTCGAGGACGTTTCGTGAGTGGCGCTGCGAGTGTTTGTGAGTGTGGGTATGTGCGAGTGTATGGGTGTGTGTGTGCGTGCTTGTGCGTGTATATACGTGTGTGTGTGTGTGAGAATTTGTGTGTATGCTAGTATGGCTGTGTGTGGTTGTGTGTGAGCACAACTGAATAAGAAAATGTGTGTGACTGTGTGTGTGAGTGTGTGCACGTATGTGTGAATGCGCGTGTGCGTATGTGTGTGCGCACGCGCACGTGTGTATGCGTGTAGGTATGTGTGTGTGTGTGTGTGTGTGTGTGTGTGTGTGTGTGTGTGTGTGTTTGCCAATTGGTATTTATTTCCTGTGAGAGGAAGGGAGCTGTGACGTAAAGGAGAGGGGAGGGGTTGGATAACAATGACCAAGGAAAGTGGGCAAACGAGTCCTGTGACCTAGAAAATGGTGAAAAAGTAAGTGTTCTATAATCCCCAGTCTTCCCAAAGGCCTTTCCATTTCTCTTGGGTCATTCCAAATTCTAATCTATTTCTTCAGGTATCGCCTACGTGGCTCAAAGGATTTTCTGAATGATACTGTTAAGAAAGAGCTGAAAAAATCTATATTGCACTCATCATGCTGGTCCTTTTATTTACGAACGTAATGTTGCCAAAAATAACTCACTCAACATGTTTCCCCCCCCCTCTCTCTC